AGCACCGCCGAATCCACCTCCGAAAGCTGGAGCACCGCCGAAACCGCCTCCCATCATTGGAGCACCGCCGAAACCGCCTCCCATCATTGGAGCACCGCCGAAACCGCCTCCCATCATTGGAGCAGCACCGCCGAAACCACCGCCACAGCCTCCTCCCATCATTGGTGCACCGCCGAATCCACCGCCGATACCTAAATATCAAGTGAAATCATATAACACCTCTTTATTAAATATAAAAGAGTACTCACCACCACCATAAGAGGCTAAACCGCCAATACCGCCGCCCTGAAAATATTCACAAATCAAAACATCAGTTATGCTTCATTGATTTTTCTATTCTAATTCAAATGAAATATGCACTCGTGATCACTGTCGCAACGATATTAAATATATATTTTTACTTTAGTCAAATGTTTATGACAAATATGAATGGCGCTTCATTGGTAAAGCACCTCCGAAACCTAAAGGTCAATATGACAATTATACTTTATCGTTTATTTGATGAAGAAGACTTACCACTGAATCCGCCTACTGGCATTCCTCCTCCCATTGCTAATCCACCACCATAGCCGCCGATGCCTCCACCATAGCCGCCCATTCCTCCACCATAACCTCCGAGGCCTAAATTGATGACAAAAACGGTATGTAATAAACAGGAAGAAAATATAAAAATTAAGTAGAAAACTTACCGCCCATGGCACCGCCGAAACCGCCCATACCACCACCACATCCACCCATTTGTGGCATCATTGGTGGCATCATTGGAGCTTGTTGTGGACAACTATAGAGGAATAGAGAAAAAAGGAACTTATTATAAATACTGATGTATGATTTTTAATAAAATCCATTACCACTGTTGTTGCATTGGTGGCATCATTGGTGGCATCATTGGTGGCATCATTGGAGCTTGTTGTGGACAACTATAAAGGAAAAGAGAAAAGAGGAACTTATTATAAATACTGATATATGATTTTTAATAAATTTTATTACCATTGTTGTTGCATTGGTGGCATCATTGGCATCATTGGAGCTTGTTGTGGACAACTATAAAGTAAAAGAGAAAAGAAGAACTTATTATATATACTGATATATGATTTTCAATAGAGTAGCTTACCATCCACCAGAAGCAACTTGACCACCTTGAGGAATGAAGATGGCACGAACTTTAGGTGCGAGACCACCATAACCGCCGATACCACCACCGAGACCGCCAAGACCACCGCCAAGACCACCATAACCGGCAGCTGGAACAACAGCTGTTGTAACATAGCCTGTTTGATATCCACCTCCATATCCACCAGTTGGATAGGCACCACCATAATAATCCATTCCATAGTATGGATCATATCCAGTACCGTATGCTGGAAGACCATATTCTACTACTGGTTGTTGATTACGTGCTCCGCGATTACCCATGTTTTAATAGTTATTGATATGTGGCTTAGCTAAGAAATAAAATAAATAGAATCAGATTTATAGGAATAGAATAAGAGAATAATATTGATGGTTCTCATATAAGATTAAAAAATATTGCATGATTATAATCTTGTATAATTACCTGCTTTTATCCAAATGACGACGACGATTGTCGATTTCAAGTAATCGAATCAGTACAAATGTTTCTGATTTTATAGGTAACCGTTCTACCTTTGCGTTTTAGATAATAACAAGAGAAAGAGAGAGAAAAGGAGAGAAAAAAAGAAGAAAGAGAGGCTTTTTTGCTAGAAATATTAGACGCCGGCGGTTGTCTTTTTTTTTAAGGACGTCGCTCATACAATACAATTGGTTTATCATATTTGTCTCTGGGTCGTGCATGTATCAGCCAATGACGCGTAAGAAGAAGAAGAAGATTTCAACGATGACTGTAATAAATACATTAGAAAAAAAGAGAGAAACATGTTTTTTATCGACCACGGCCGGTTTGTTTAGTAATATATTGCAGAGAGAGAGACAATAATAAATCAGTATTTACCAATATATACATATCCATTGCCACGATATGACGTGTCAGTTACCTGAGCATGGTCGTCATTACGCGAAAAAATTGCTAGGCAGAATTAAACCACATACAGACATTCATATGTAAACACATAAAACAAAAATAAATATGATTTGGCAGACGCTAAAATATAATATCCTATCATTTTCTTCGGTATACATTTAACTATTAATGATAACCTTGAGATTGCTATTATTAATGATGAATCAAAGGAGTGTCTTGATACATATTAAATAAGACGAAGCGAAGAGAGAGATATTTTCTGTTTGTTAATTTTTGATTATCATTATTGTGGTTTTTGCTTTGTTGTCAATATACATACCTACCAAGTATAATCTCAAGGTTGAAGTAAAACGAATTAGACAATCATATAATATTGTTCATATACAAAAATATACATACCTCATAATTTATTCATTCGTTCTTATTTTCATAAACAATGAACAAACTAGAAGTAAACTGTTTTCTTAATAAAGATTATGCTATAATATAAGAAATATGATATACTGTCAAACTACATCTTTTTATTAGAATATATTAAAACGATATTATAAATTTATAATTATTTGTTGACTAAAAAGTTGGTTTCTATATAATATAAAATATTTCTTATCATTTACATTGTCTTTGAGATGTTACAATACAATGACAATAAAGACTAAATCATCTATGATTCTTAGTTTGATTTTTTTCTCATATAAATTATAATCAATATACAAAATAGCATCATTCTTTTTCAAAAAAGAATCAATCAACAGAAGTCTTCATAAACTCATGATACTTGACATATCTAAATTTGTTTTCAATAAAAATGAATGAATTTTGATGTTTTTTTTTTCAAACTCATGATTCTATACATTTATAAATTTACGTTAAAAATAAATATAAGAATTTATAAAATATATATTGATAATTATTGATCAAAAATAAAGTTTACGCAACATTAATATAGTTGCTCTATCTTAAAACATGTATATGCAACAACAAGTTAAATATTATTTCTATTCGGTAAAAAAAAATAGACTGCCGTAATATTTTTGCATATGTTGTTATTCAATCAGAATATCATCACCTATACGAAATAACGTAGTGTTGAGTCTGGTTCTTGTATCGATACTTTACCAAGGTGTTATTGTTTATAAATTTTTTCACAGTTACGTTAGAATATTTTTTTTAATGATTAAAATCAGTATATTTAATCATTATTTTATCAAATATATCCTTTTCTTTATCACATTCACTATTTATTTGTAAATGAATCATCAGCTTTTTTTTTACCAACATTTTCGTAATACAAGACAACAAACCATTCTTATTGCGTTTGTTAATCGCAAAAATGAAACGAGTATAGGGACAACTACTCCACGCTTGATTGCTTCACACCGCAACATGTATACTACGTAACCGCGCGATGTCGTCTCTTTTCTTTACCTTGATTGCTTTGCTTCCCATTCCTTTTTTTCATACTAGTTTTGTCTCCTTTCTCTTTCTTTCTCTCTCTCTCTCTTTTCTCTTTTATGCTTACATATTACATTCGATATACAACACCGCATCCAATCGATCGATCACCCATCTAGCTTTTTACCACACGTCAGTGTGCGAATAAGGATCCTCACCTCATTCATTTATCTTTCTTTTTACGTTTTTATTTGTTGCATATACCTATATTTTATATTATGTTTATAATATTGCTCATTTGTATTTCTTTGCATCATTCTATTGTCTTTTTTTCTTTGTTCGGCAGATAATACTATCAGTTATATACTGATCATCAACCACTACCAGTATAAAAAAAAAGAAGCTACATAAAGGTATGTATTGATCAGTGCAAACGAATATTCTTTTGTTAGAACGTAATTTTTAAGTAAAGAAAGTTTTTTTTCAGAATGGGTAATCGAGGAGCTCGACGAAATCAAGCTGGTTATGTTGGTGCAGATCCATATTTAAATCAGTAAGTATATTTTATTTATATTATTTGTTTATTAATTATATCGAAATAATAGATATGGAACTGGTTATAATTATGGTGCTCAACCAGGACTTGCTGGATATGGACCATATACAGGTAAAAAAACAAAATTTATAGTATTTTGTAAAATCATTATTGTATATAGGTTATGGTGCTCAACCAGGCTATACCATCACTACACCAGCATCTGTTGTTCAAGAACCATGGGCAGTAACGCAATGGACTGAATATTACATTCCTACAGTAGGCGGTCGTCAGAAACGACCAGTTATTTATATTGCTGCTCCCTTACCTGCAGCCAATCCATGCGGTGGTGGTGGTTTAGGCGGTTTCGGTGGTGGTTTAGGTGGCTTCGGTGGTGGTATGCCAATGGGAGGCGGCTTCGGTGGTATGCCAATGGGAGGTGGTTTCGGTGGAGGTATGCCTTTGGGAGGTGGTTTCGGTGGAGGTATGCCATTGGGAGGTGGTTTCGGTGGAGGTATGCCATTGGGAGGTGGTTTTGGTGGAGGTATGCCAATGGGAGGCGGTTTTGGTGGTATGCCAATGGGAGGTGGTTTTGGTTCCAATCTAGGTTATCAAGCATTACCGATGATGACTGTCGCTTATGGTGGTGGTATTCCGGGTATTCCAGCTCTTGGCGGTGGATATGGCGGCGGACTAGGTGGCGGATTCGGTGGACTAGGCGGTGGACTAGGCGGTGGACTAGGTGGTGGTTTACCTCTTTACTAAACAATATTAACTTTTTATCTTTCGTTGGAGAGGATCCAATCTCTCTTTTTCTTTATAAACCACAAAAAAAACCACGGATTTGTTCAACACTACTTTGCGCAGATTTCATTTCGACGTTTATTGTTGATGCGTTTATGTGTGTGCATCTGTGAATACCCCCATACCTTTTCGATATTTGTCTATGCTCTCTATTTCTTTCTTCTGTTTTCTTTTTCACTTTGTCTATTACACATAATGATTGTCATTTGGTTTGTTTCTTTCGTTCTTTTTTATTATTATTATTATTATTTAGTATAAGAAGGCTTTCAAATTGTGTATGTAATTGTGAAAAAATAACAAAAAGATGGTTAGAGAATTTAGTCAAATCTAGAATAGTTTGTTCATGTTCATTTTATTTATTGTTACTATTTTGCCGTTTTTCACAATTATTGAAGCAAAAGAAATATGCTTTAGTTTACCAATGTTTAACGATTGAAATTAGAAATCTGTAAAAAGAAAGTCTTTCTTTTTATTTATACTAAAGTAAAAATATAATAATATGACTTATTTTCATATAAACATGTTATACATATTGGAGAAATTTTAAGAAGATCAAAAAATTTCAGTATGAAAATTTTTTACCTTGAGTATTTCTAAATATCTAAATTAAATTTTACATTCTTATTAATGAATAAAATTATGTTATTCTTAAATCATCATTAATAGTAATAATGACTAATATATTTATTAGAAATACAAGTATATCGTTGACCACAAAAATCGAGTTGAATTATGTTTTTGAGGATGCCTTTACCTAGCCAACAAACCGCTCTTACCTGATGAATAACAACTTGATATGCATGAAAGGCTTTAGCCTATGATGTAAACACTTTTTTCTATACTATTTTTCATCAAAACATCATTTACTATGAAGTTTAAGATTTGTATCATTATTTATTTTTTTTGGTCTTCGCGTAATTTATATTTACGTTTATTTATATAAGATATAGATTCAAAATAATTCCTTCATTTATAAGCCATTTTCTGAAATCAAACATTCTTAGTTTAATATAAACAACGAAAAAAAATTTAAACCCATTAAACTTCTATATAAAAATAATAATAATAAGATAATAGTGTCTGCTCGGTTGAATTAATCTTTTGTGATTTATTGTCCATGATAATATAAACAAGCAATCAATCATATTTGTATGACAATTTCTATCTTCAATGAATAATCTATAAAAATTTTCTAACTTATGTTTTTTTTTTCTTATTCTATTTTTAGTTTAATAAATCGGATTGTTTTAATAAAATTTCATTTACAAATATTTGTACTATATTTTCAATATCAATTTAGTATAGAATGAAAATAATTTTTTGTAGTTGTCTAGTTTCTAATTAGAAAAATTTGTTCTTTCATTTTCATACTAATATAAAGTAATTAGTTTTATCCTTGAATAAATAACATTCGAAACATATTGATTTGCTAGCTAGAAGGGCAGCAAAAAAAAAATACATTCAAAAAGAGTAACGGCGTCTGTAAACGAGCAAAAAAAAACGTAAAATTATTCAAGTGTGACAAAATGTAACTTCGAAATTTTTTTTTTCGTGTCTCTTTTTCTTTCGTGATATTATATGTATGTATCGGTTGTTAATAGAAATATATAGACCATCTTGTACAACAAATAACACACATATATATATATATATTTCTTCATTAAAATAAAACAACAAAAAATAATTAAAAGAGTTCAAACAGAAGAAGAAAAAAAAGAAAAGTTAATAGTTCACAATTTGTTTTTATATAATAGATGAGAAGACATAAAATAAATTAACTAGATCGTTTTTGTATTATTCACAAACAACAGTAAAAGATTAATAAAAATACAATATCAGAATGAATGAGATTTGACTATTTAATATAAGTTCAAAATACAACAAAAATAGAGATTATAAGTTAATCTACAATAATGATTATACTGACGAGACAATATTGCATTACATACAACATTAATAAATAAAAAACAGAAAAAAAAAGAAATGAGATTTTAAGAACTAATTAATGATGAAGTACTGCCAGAGAGAAGTCGTTGAGTATCATTGATAAATCGTTGTGAGCTATGCCAAAAGCCATAAAAACCATAGATAAGAAAACCTGATAAAAAAAAAATTTTTTTCTTTTTCTCATAAAAGCTTAAATGATAACTTACCAATAATCATCCATACAGCAAATCGAATCCAAGTTGCCGGTGAAAGTTTAAGAATTAAATATGTATTAATTAATACACTTAATATTGGCACATAAGGTACGAATGGTGTCTATCAAACAAAAAAACATTATGAATAAATTTTCTGTATTATTTTTTTTCTGATTTCATATCAAAACAAAACGAAAGCTGAAACATAACATAGCAGAAAAAAACAAACCTCATGGAAAGTTGACTGAAAAATAAATTTTCATTATTTTTCTCAAAATCATATATTTAAACTAACCTCAAAATAAGATGATTTTTCACATTTTGGTTGTCGTGCAATAGCAGTAACAAGAAGAAATTCCGTACACATAAAAAATCCAAAGATAATTACAGGTCCAAATTCTTTAGCAGCAAGACGATGTCCAGCAAATATTTGTATTGCACAAACAATAAATCCATTAATTACTATTTTAAAAAATAAAATTTTCAAAAAAAGTCAATTTTGAATTGTTTTCTTACTCAATAAAGTAATAAGATATTTTGTTATTCTTGCTGAATATATTGTTGGATGTGTTTGTGATGGATAAAATAATTCTTTTAATATCGGTCCACTTGTTGGTACACTCGAACGTAAAAGTGGATCGTCAACAGGTTGATAACTAAGTATATAAATAACCTAACGTTTATTTTTTATCTGATCAAAATCAAAACAAATTATTTACCGTAAAAATAAAACAGAAATTGACACAAGTGAATAAGCAAGTAATGTTCCGATTGACATCATTTCGACTAATTTTCTTAAATCAAATATCAATGCCATAAGTGCTTTTAAAATCAAATAAATTAATTATTCAAATTAAAAAAAAACAAAACATTATTTCTACCTGCAGCTACTCCACCAAGAATTGTTGCAATTATTGGTGTTTGTAATTGTGGATGTATCCATGAAATAAAACGAAATATTAATCCATCAGAAGCTATCGCATATAGAACACGTGGTAATGGTAAAAGTGAACCAAGTAATGAAGCAAATATTCCTTTAAAAAAAAATTAATAAAGACAAAAAAAAGTAATTATAAACAACAAACCAGTTAATGCACCAGCACCAATTATGTATTTAAATGCTGGTAAATCAACGTAACGAAATGCTTCAGGAAAGACAGCATCTGGATTTAAGAGATAATATGGAACCTAGAAAGAAAATATATTCATTCGATTTAATCCTTTGTAATTATTCTTTATTAAATTAATTATAATAAATTAACAAAAACTAATTATATTATTTCTTTCATTTATTATTAGTATTAATCTTTTTTCTTCTTCAAATATATATATAAATCGATAAATTATACGAAATAAATATTCAAATTAATTCTGAGGATGAATAAAATATCGGAACATTTTGTTAATATATTTCATCGATTTACTGGTATTACTATTATTTCACATAAACTTCAATAGTCAAAGAATAGAGTTACTATTAAATCAGTAAACATCTTAAATTTATTAATTACATCAACGGAAAACACTTGAAAAAGCTCACGTACTTTCCAATTTTTTTCTCGGATTCAATCATATTTCTATTCAATAGAAAATTTATTTACCACAAACGATAAAAACATTTCCGGTGAAAAAATAAATTTAGTCACGTTTAACAATTCTTTTCCTTCAATATTTATATTTATTTGCCATATGCCAATCAATATGAAAAATTTTCCCTAAAGGTTTTTAATGTACATGACAAACTAATAAAATAGTGTTATACGTTGAGATAATCTTATTAAGTAAATATATGAATATGTTTCTTACCATCAGTGTTATAACAATTGATACAGCACAATAAATAACTGAACAGACTAATAATGTTAAACATATTGATATTGGAATAGCTCGTTGTGGATTTTTACTTTCTTCACCTAGAACAAAAAAAAGAAAAGTTGAAAATTATTAGGATTTGTATAAAATAAAAACCTGTAGTCGCAACAAGATCAAAACCAACAAAAGCATAAAAACATGTGGCTGCACCAGCTAATGTTCCTTCAATACCAAATGGAAAAAATCCACCTTTACCAACCATATATGTCGTATTAGTTAAATTTTTTATCTAAATTAAAGAAAAAGGATTTTTATTTAAATATTCAAAAACCATTTTTACTTCATTTGGTGAAATTTTCCAATTATGTCCATGAATTTTTGTTAAACCAACAATAATAACAAGAACAATAACAGAAAGATTGACAAATGTAAATACATTATTTAATACAGCTGATTCTTTAATACCAACAATTAAAAGAACTAACAAGAAGAAAAAATTTTTATTTTTTCGTTTTTAATTAATTTCTTTTTTGAAACATACTGGTTATTACAAGACACAAAGTCATAGCAAATAAATCGGCATATGGTGCAAATGTTTCGGAATGTAATGGAAAATGTGCAGTAAAATAATCTTTCATTGCAAAATTAATAAGTGAATCAAAATAGGCACTTAAAGCTCGTGCTGTGCTAGCGGCACCTAATGAATAGAAAAAGAATAAGAAATAGAACATCCTTTTATTTGATTTAATAATGGATATTCTTTTTTGTTCTATTAAAAAAACATCTAATTTTAGATTATGAAATTTAATAGGAGATAATAATATTTATACTATATCACCATTGATAATTAATTAGAAAGATGAGTACAATTAGGATTTTTCATTATTTAGTACT